CCTCCTCCTCCTCTTCCTCCTCCTCCTCCTCCTCCTCCTCCTCTGCTCCTCATCCTCTGCTCCTCATCCTACTACTCCTCCTCCTCTTCCTCCACCTCCTCCTCCACCTCCTCGTCCTCCTCCTCCTCATCATCCTCCTGCTTCTCCCCCTCATCCTTCCTCCTCCTCCCGCTCCTGTCCAGCCCGATGTGATCCGACCCCGATCTTCGGGCGATCCGGAGCGGCCCGCGGCTTGCGCATGGCGCCGTTGTACGTCCTGGCGTCGCCAGTTCGATTTGCGCCCGCTTCGGAGCCGATGCGGTCCGATTCGATACACGATTCGATTCGATCCGATGTCCCGATTCGATGCTGACTGCTCCTGCCACATCGGGGCCGCGCCGAAAAGGGTCGTGGCGGCGGGTCCTTGTTTCCACTGTTCTGTGGCCCGAGGCCGGCGTCGGGCCGCAGCGCCGCCGAGGAGCGGCACGGGAGGGAGAGTTGGTGCCGCAGCCGCGCGGCCCGGAGTTCTGCTCCCTTGGACGCTCCAGGGCTTGGCATCGCTCGGACGTGTGCATTTTTCCTTCGGCGAGGACCATTGAGGAGCATCCTTGATCATTCGGCGAAAAAAACACGCACGAAACCGAAAAAAACACAGGGAAGGGACGTCCGAGCGATGGCCAGAGGGTTACCAGGGGCCCGAAGGCGCTGGCCACCCAGGCTCAGCACGGGCGCGTCGTCTCGATCTTGCACAGCGCGCACGCGCGCGGGCACGGTAGGCTCTGCGCCCTCCGCTCGGGCTGCTGTCCCCAGGGGGACAGGTCGTGAGGCCAGAGGGCCCAAGGCGGCGGGAAAGGCGGAACGCTCCCGACGTCTGGGTCCGGAAGTCTCCCCGGAAGGGGCCCGGGAGGTTTCCAGAAGGCCCCAGCAAGCGTTTCAGAGCCTTCGTGAGGTTTGCAAGAGGCTCTCCTAGGATGAGCCTCCGCAAAGAGAGCTGAGGATGGGGAAGAACTCGCAGGGTAGAGCGAGAATTAGGAAGAGGAAGAGGAAACATGAGGTAAGGATAACGAATAACCGGATTACAACGACGATGCCAGAAATGACAACAGCGAGTTATCCCTAAATGTTCAGTTTTACCTTATTGCCCTCTTGTCTGCATGTCAAGCTTTAAAGACCAAAGTGCATGACGCGAAGCGCACTTGCAGTCTTGAGTATACATATACATATATAGCGCCACACACATAATTTGTGTATATGTATGTGGATCTGTATATATATATATATATATGTGTGCGTACGTGTGTGTTTAAACACATACATGTGTATGTGTGATATACAAACAACTATATATATAGATCCGTAAGGGCTTCGCCCCCTGCCGCCGGCCCCCTCTCTCGGAGAATGGGCCATGGAAGAGCTAAGTCATGAGGCCTTGGCGCTGTCGTGAAGCAGTATCGAAACTTCATGCGAAGCCGATTCGCAATCAGCAAAACCAACTGATCACAAGAGGGGTTACCACACCTGGCGATTGGTAAGACGTGTATGGTTTACGGGCTTGGTTACCACACCTTGCGATTAAAGGGCCGAGGGAGTTCTCGCAGTTTGGGTTACCACGCCTTGCGATGGATGTGCGTGAGGGTGGCACCGAATTTCAGAAATGTGGCAAATCCCCTGTGTTTTTGGACCCTGACCCCGCGGATCTGCGTAAGGGGTGGCACCGAATTTCAGAAATGTAGGAAATCCCTGTGTTTTTGGACCCTGACCCCGCGGATCTGCGTGAGGGGTGGCACTGAATTTCAGAAATGTGGCAACTCCCTTGTGTTTTTGGACCCTGACCCCGCGGATCAGCATGAGGGGTGGCACCGAATTTCAGAAATGTGGCAAATCCCTTGTGTTTTTGGACCCTGACCCCGCGGATCTGTGTGAGGGGTGGCACCGAATTTCAGAAATGTGGCAAATCCCTTGTGTTTTTGGACCCTGACCCCGCGGATCTGCGTGAGGGGTGGCACCGAATTTCAGAAATGTGGCAAATCCCCTTTGTTTTTGGACCCTGACCCCGCGGATCTGCGTGAGGGGTGGCACCGAATTTCAGAAATGTGGCAAATCCCATGTGTTTTTGGACCCTGACCCCGCGGATCTGCGTGAGGGGTGGCACCGAATTTCAGAAATGTGGCAAATCCCATGTGTTTTTGGACCCTGACCCCGCGGATCTGCGTGAGGGGTGGCACCGAATTTCAGAAATGTGGCAAATCCCGTGTGTTTTTGGACCCTGACCCCGCGGATCTGCGTGAGGGGTGGCGATTTCGAGCCCCCCAGCAATTCAGACAACGCGCCCAGGGGACGCTAAAAAGCCGGTTTGGGCCTCCCCCCCCCTCGCGCGGTCAATCAACTAGTTACAGTAACCAGCAATAAGCAGAACTGCAACACTGGAAACTACAAGCTACAACTGGTACAGGAAACTGCGAATCCCGCTCCTCGCAGCCTGGTGGCCCCACAAGGGGGCCGGCGGATATATATATATATA